GATGATCTATATATCTGCACCGCGTCTCAACTCGTGAGCATCAAGTCAACACCGTGGTGATGGTTGAGCCGATGTGTACGCTGCAGCGCATTTCTTTACACGACCGCGCAGAGATCTTTTACTAACGCTGCCATTGATTATTTAATTACAGGTATCTGCCTTCACAGTGGACCTGTGATAAATGAGATGCCATGAGGATACTGGAGTTGCCCCCTCGATGAGTCCCTCCGATACCAGAGTATGCATGTAAATCTAGTAATAACCTCAGCACATAATGGCGTCCCAGTACGGTTCTTGTGGTGGCCTACATGCATCGACTTTACGAGATCGGCGGTGGCGCCCACGCGACTGCGTAGACTCGACCGTTGTGGGCTTGCAAGAAGTCCTGCTACTGGGCAAAGGTGTTCCAATAAGGCCCTCAGGCTCTCAGCAAGGCTTTAACTCATCGCTGGTTGCCTTAATTGGTGCGCGGTACAGTCTTTGCAAACGGGTGTACTTGTGAAGCCTCCAATGATACTACCATTTCTATGTATCCGCTGGGTCAGAGACCTCGATCGCATGAGGCTACTTGACAGAACGGAGTTGAGAGCAGACAATGCAATGTGCAAATGAAAAGGCCCTCGAAACCTCAGTCTCCCACTTAATTCCAATTTTCTTTTCGTTTGTTTCGGTCCATCATTCCCAAAACCCCTGCCTTGGTGTTATAGACCTCTATCGATTCGCAAACGTTCCTGAGCATTTCAGCTGTAATTTTCCGTCAATACTCAGGTGTAGCACTGCAACTGGCTCGTTCGAGGCTACTGCCCGCGAAGAAAGGACGAATTAGTGGCCATGACAGGAGCACGGCCAGTCGCAGCGGCGCCGTCAGTACTCAGCAGGACAAGGCCCAACACTACGATCACAGGTGAGCAGAGAACTCAATTCAATCCATACAGCCTGGCTTTGTTTATGTGCATCGCCACTGACTTGATTGCCAATGCTAGACCTTTATTAAACCACCCGAAAATTCGTACGCCCACTGCTTTCAGTCATCACGCCGTCATTCACGTCGAGGTCCCCCTAAATCGTCTAAGAGCCAGCCTCTGCCCTGGAGCTCTAGAAATCGGAGTTGTCAAGAGTCGAAACTCAGCCATTCTCACTCATCTAATATACTCAAGGCCGATGAATCCGTCGCACAGGCACTAGATGACTTCTGGCAGGAATTCTTCCTTGTTTTCTCGACCATTTGCTTAGTCGCTCACAAGAAGGGCAAGCTAGCAGAGTCGTTAACAGGCGAAGAGATCTTTCGTGACGTTGTCGAAGCCTACTGCCTTTGCCCCAACGATCAAGGAGATACAAGTTCGACCCCACCAAGGCCTGAGGCTGGAGGCGCTCAATCACCCCCAGAAACAGCTGGCACAACACCTAGTTCTTCGCAGAATCGTAACAGGAAGCGAAGACGAAATGGTCAAGACTCACAAGATGGTAAAAGACCTCGCGTAATAAGCCGTAGACCATCTAGCAACACGAGCTTTGCACCACAGCTGAAATGGGCTTGCCCCTTCGCCCTGCACGATACTAGAACCTACCGCTCTTGTCTGGGGTATCGCCTCTCACGGATCGTTGATGTCCGACTACATATTAACCGACAGCATCGCCAAAAGATTCACTGTCCCATCTGCAAAGTGACTTTCGCAGAGCAAGCCGATTGCAACGATCACATCCGTGAATGCGAAGCCCAGGAAGTCGACTATGAGTACCCGGGAGCAACTCCAGATCAATGGACCGCAATCAGCACTCGCTCCAATGACCATAATGATGACAAGGAGCGCTGGTACGGTATCTGGGACATTCTATTCCCTGGAGCGTCCCGTCCAGTATCACCGTATGTCCAATGTCCTGAGGTCGTGCAAGTCGTGCGGGACTACAGTAGACAATTTTTGGATGGCGGCTATACTGATACATTGGCTCAGCAATGGCCTTTTGCAGGAACCATTGATCTTTCGGCCGCGATGAGGACCGTGATTGATAGGTTCGTCACTTTCGTGGAGCAGCAAGAAGGCACTCCCAATAACCCAACAACCCCGCTCGGCGACTTACATAGGCGAATCGCTCCGGGTCTTCTAACACCTGCACAATCCTACTCAGCCCTAGGCCAGCCTTTTACGCCAGGCCCAGCAAATCATAATACCTTCATCAACTCGAGTGGCCCCATAGACTCTTTCAGCTGGCGTGCACCTGGGAGTTTCGGCGATTCATTCCAAAGCCCTTCCACGACGCGTTTGGCCCAGGACCAACCCAATCTTGGATATTTTCCGGGCCCGTCAACCTGGATGGACACCAATCAATGGCCGAGAATGAATTCTCAAGGCCGGAGTTCGCTTGGAATCCTCTCCGAAGAAGAGATGGAAGTCTTTTGGAGAACAGGGGGGCAGCCTTAATCGCCAACGCCTCCATTACTCTACGTCGGACATAAAAGACACTCCATATGCTACCACGCCAGAGTAGCCATATCTTGTTTCTTTGTCCGCTAATTCTTGACTACGGTTAGACCTGCTCACAAAATAGACCCGAATGTTAGCTCAAGTCACGTCGCCGTTCTCTCTTCGTCCATACTCAATCTTATCTTCTTCTAAGACTCCGTGTATATAGCAGTAGGACTCATAATCTGGTGTCAAAAAGAACTATGAGTGGCTAATCGCTCTTTTTGCCGAGCCGGGTAGGGGGAGGGGGAAGGCCTTGCTTCATAACAATTCGGTGCCAGAGGTAAACACCAATGCAGGAGTGTGTATAGTTGGGCTTACCAATTGCGGTGACTCTATTCAACACTATTCAAACCAGACAAAACGCGAAATAAAAAGAAGAGAAAGACAAAGGAGAAGGAGAACCTAGAGAGTAAGGTTAGATACCGGGGAACGGAGCCATGACGCGACTGCGGTTACTCCTCCAGGGTGATAAACGTTGGTTCGGCAAGGATACCACTACATGGACCTATAGTAATAAACAGAACATTCGAGAGCTTGATGGTATTACGACTCTCAACATTGAGTAATTTCACCCTCAATAATTACGTTTATTACCCCTCTGCCGGGGTAGAGGAGAGGCTGGGGCACGTGCCACTGCCACCGCATCTTTGCATAGTTTAGTGCAGACCTGCTGTTATCAGAAAGGTAGTCGATCCATTACGTCACATCTCTTCCCTCTATCAAGGCACTACAGTATTTCAAATTCGTCAATAGGTAAATAATTCGTGCACATGACCAATTATCTACAATAGTTAATACATAGTAGATTATCCGCTGAGTCCCGATCAACATGACAGACTCTCAGAGCGACAATTCTCGCGAGTTTATCCCACAACCTCTAGATACCAATCGACATGATCAAACATCGTATGTTTCAATCACCGAAATGCTCAGCCTCCTGACCTAATTTCTGGAAGGAACATCATAGCTGAGCAAGGGCTCACTTATGGTACCAAGCGACCCGAAGCCGACATTGGTACGAGTATAGACGCGCGGAACGAGGCAATCAAGGATCGCATCGACGATGCGGTACCAAAAGGTCCCAAGCGGGCCGACCCGAGCTCCGGCGGGAGGGTAATGGTTGGCGAGGAAGGCGACCTCCATGATCTTGCTGCAAAGAGGCAGTCATGAGCTGATTGCTAAGAAATCGAAGTGCAGTGGTTGAGCGAGGGCAGTGCTTCTTAGTTCGAAGGTCGTGTCAATGAAACACATGCAAGGCACACAGAATATTCGGGTTTGGTTTGTATTACATTTCAATTTGGCCTCTACTTCGTTGAATAATAATCGTTTCGCACAAAATTCTTTAAATTAACGAGTTCACTACCCTAGTCGGCTAGTTTATTGAGGAGCACGGTCGAAGGCCGAGCATAATTATGTGCTCTTTTCTGAGAACAATGACACCTGATTCGAAGAAGCTTTCCTCTTATCTCATATTCAAAAGGGTTCACCAATACAATACTCATGTTTTGTAGAGTCGTTGGTACACGTTCATCAAGGATTCACTATCATCAGATAAGTAGCCTTAAGTAACCAGGCGATTGGTGACAAGTTGACCAAATGTTGTAATGCCTACAAGAATGTTCGACGTCTAGGCTATTATGTCAAGTTTTCGCATATCTAAACCACTGGCAGTATCATCATTATCGCTTTGTGTACCAGACAGCTTCTACAGAGACTAGGTAGGCTTCGAGAGACGGTGACAACTTAGTGTGACATCAATTATTAGTCCTCCAAGGATATCTGGAAGCGAAAGCTCGTTTCCAGAGGCCAATTCTTTGTAAATCAGGCAAATCGACATGCCCAGGTACAGTACCTGCCGAGAACATAGATCCTTCAGAGGGTGGCTGCCGTGAGTCAGTAGTTGCGACTGTCCCCTGGTTGGTTGCTTGGCAGCATGCCAGTATATGACGCTGGAAGATGGCTAACCGAGATATCCTTTCTCCAGGCCTGAGATACCATAATATTCACAAGTCATTGGATGGGCAAATTGCTGCACCCTCTGAAACGCCTATAACAGAGCTCGACCAAGGATCACTAAGCCTTGCCCAGCCAGTCCTGTGACTCCGGCAGTCTCCTCTTCAGACAAGGAAGTCGGCATCTGGGGCGACAACCCATATGAAGTTGCCTGGATTATCGGTAGCATGGTGGCGGCTGTCAAAATGCAGGCCCAATGTTGATAGGTGGTAATGGGCCTCCTGATTGGGATAGGCATATATAGCCCCTCTTTATAGACTCGCTGGATATATTGCCCAGTCCAATAGAAAACTCCGACAAATGCCGGGGAGGTTTCACTATTAGACTTCTTCATCCGTGTCTAAATAGATGAGAAGTAATTAATTCGGCAGCGACTATGCTAGGGGTGGCGGACGGCAAGTTCTCACGCTTGAGAGGGATCCAATTACGGAAGTATACATAGGGACGAGATCTTTTCGGCGTGTTCGTGAAAATATGCATCGTCACTAGAACATTCACTAACTTCAAAATTGGTCTACAAACATGAAGTGGCTATCTCTCACCTTCGCGCTCGTCGCGCCTACTCAGGCTGCGCTCCGCTTCGGATGCTCAACTCTTAGCATCCAGCGTCTCGATCCTCTTGTTCAGCCTGGTCAAGTTCCTTCAACCCATGTTCATCAGATCGTTGGTGGAAATGCCTTCAATGTGACGATGACTGGTGATATTGGTGAGCAGGGTAGCTGCACGACGTGTACCTTCTCGGAGGATTTTTCCAACTACTGGACCGCCGTTATGTACTTCAAACATCCCACAAATGGCACCTACAAGCGCGTTCCGATCATGCAGAATGCTGCGCTTCCTAACGGTATTAATGGTGGAATGACGATCTACTATACCCAGCAGGACTTCAACTCAAACGGGAATCAAAAGATTACGTCTTTTAAGCCAGTGAGCATAAATGCTTGGCAATTTGACAATTAGGTTGTATTGACAAGTATTAGGGTTTCCGCATGACGGTGGGCAGCCCGACAACCAACACTTTGGACGAGGCGAAGGGACATATTGGCCTGCGTTTTGTCTGCTTGGACACAAAGTCGACAAGATTTCCTGAGCTTCCTGACTTTCCCACGTAAGTAAATGAATTTCACTCTTTGTGAACATGTCGCAAGTATTCAGGACAAACCCTAATGCGACGAGGAGAATTTGATCTTGAAACACGTCCTCCGAAGCCCCCTTCGATTCCTTCACTCACCCCGACGATACCACTGCTAATTATAAGGTAGAAAAGTCTGTAGAGGAGGGATTATGACAGTGCATCATTTCCCTTCGTAAGTATTAAAATTGATACATAATTGAAATGTTCGTGGTTGCTGATGATGCTTAGATGCTGGGACGGCAAGAATCTTGACAGCCCTGACCACCAGTCTCACATGTACAACACGGCCAAGGAGGCATTCCAGCCCGCAGGCCCTTGCCCAGCGTCGCATCCCGTCCGGATGCCACAGGTGGCCTACGAGACTCTGTGGGACACAACTCAGTTCAACAACATGTGGCCAGCCAACGGCAAGAACCCTTTCGTCCTGAGCTACGGTGACCAGAACGGCTACGGCACTCACGCAGATTACGTTTTTGGCTGGAAGGGAGACTCTCTTCAGCGAGCAATGGACTCTAGCTGCATGTTCCAGGCCTGCGAAAATGGGCAGCCGCTCAAGTCTCAGAGCGTGGCGCAGATGAATAAGTGTGCAGTCAAGAGCTACGTTAAGGAGGATATCGATGGCTGTAAGTCTCCCATGGATTAAAACGTAGGAACGAACTAATCTTCTTTCAGGGCTTACTGAGCTCCCCGGTATGAAAGCCGGTATGCCCATGAAGGTATGAGGGCGGTTGCGTCGTCACTACAAACAGGAGCTATTTTCGGTGAGAGTTCAACCACACATTTACTTCAAGTTCCTTTATTATCAGGAGCTTTCTATCTACGAGTGTTATACTGTACGAGTTCGCTATCTATTCATATAAGTTGATCTACAAGAACCCAATTTGACGCCTATCACCGATATACCGCTTTGCGTTTTAATCAATCTTAAAGGACAACAGCTCTTAACGTGACGGAAATATTATGACCATTCTTGAACCTAGAATAACAACTTAGTATGGCACCACAATCTATACTGAGGATTTCCCTCGTTGTCCAAATGCCTAAGCCATTGCTATCTCAGCATAAGCCGCAGTGATCCTGATAAGGAGCCACGACAGAATCAATGGGCTTGAAGTTTTCGTTAGTGCCCAGCTAAGGCTAGCTGCTACTCCAATAGTGATTTCTAACCGCCAACCCGGGATTTCCCAAGTCGGTATAATTAGTAAGAAGAATGTAACTACTTCTCTGCTATTCAAGCTTCTAAAAAATATGTCCTGTTGATAGAATTGCCAGGATCTAAGAAGCTTACAGAAACTTTGTGTCGTCTCACACGAGACAAGAATCTTGAGCCATCGAGCAAAGTCGAGGGAATTGCGATCTCAAAATTCGCTACCGTCTATTATATGTCTTGTCCAGGACGAAGCTTGAGCATGTGTGCGGAAGGTTAAGCTTGATGCTTAGTACGCATACACTATATAGTGCTAGCTGGGGTCCTGGGCCAGGTGGCTGAACCCTACCCGTGACTGCCTCAACGAGAGCGGGAGCCCCGAGGACGCAAGGGCTATAACCAGATCGATCTGCTTTCAGCACTATAGACGCTAGATCGCACCTAGCTCCAACAAGTATCTCGTAGTACTAAATGAGTAACAAGAAGCAATCCGGAGATCTAGATGTGATTCTCCAAAATGTAAAATGAATACTATATAGTATATAATGTTTTATTATTCAAAGACATTGGTGCTAAGCCATACTGTGTATCTAAGTATGTTGAAGACTTACAAACATCTGTGCCTAAACTAATCATATCTATTAGTTAGTGAAATAGGGTGATATTATAGCCTGCTGCAAACATACCTTGCTGCAAGCATTAATAGGAGTGGAAACTCGAAATTCAAGGCTTCAAGTTAGGTATCAAATATACGGCGTGTGTTACCCCATGACACATTGAATAGAGACCTCTTCAACACGCCAAGGTACATGTTAACAGTACAGTTGTATCATTGGCTCGCGCAGGGCAATTAGTAGACTATCAGCCCTCTCAGCCCATCGCATGTGATGAGGACGGGTAGTGCAGGTGTTCTTCACGTCGTTGTAACAACTTCATTCAAACACTGTCTGTAATCATCCCACTGGATTGCACACTTCCAGCATGAATCAAATCAGTGTATGTTTCTAAACACGTCCAGGTTAGATGCTCCTTTGGAGAACTTACTGTTCAGTTGTTTCTTTCTTCAGGTGTTTCTGGATATTGGTCGTACGTGCGAGAAGTATATCTGGGGTAAATCCTGCCAAAAGTGCGGCTCCAATCAAAACCATGCTGCTTGATGTCAGCAATCCGTTTGGAAAGAGTCTGGACAACAAAGTCATGACTTCTTACAGTGATTCCAAAACAACAAACGATGATTCATCCTGCATGATTCCGTTTCTAATAACAGCCGCGTTAGCAATTTTGAAAGAACTCAACGATGTACTGGCATTCTCACCCCCATCCACCGGCCATTTCTACAACACTATAGCACTGATTAGCACATCATAACTGAACACTTGGAATGTAGAACCCATCTTCATGTGACGTACCGATAGATACAGCGGATTAGAATCACAAGATATGCGCAGCTGACGGCGTAAAAAAATCTTTTGAACTTCGGATCATGCCAAAGATTGAGTGCCTCACTTGTTGCCTCTGCTCCGTGAAGCCATCGCCGGAGTCTAACGACGTACTCGCTCGCTAAGACACCAAATACAAGTAGGACCAACACCTGAAGGACTATGCCCGTAATGATAGTGCGGTTACCGTTATCGAGTAATTTTGCATTGTCGTTATCAGCTGAAGCAGCAATTCCTCCACCAATGGCTTGTACTATTAGGCAGGAGACGTCGCCTGGCACAAAGAGATAAGGGTATAGTCGAGGTGGCATACGGGATAACAATGGGTTGAAAGCAAGACAAATATGTTTGAGAGTCAGGTAAATCGAAACACAGAGCAGAGTAGGGCTGAGGATAATGGCCACAATTTGAAGTTCGAAGCCTTTAACATCCCAGGGATTACTATGAAGCAACGCGCGACCAACGTAGCCTATATCGAAAGAAATTAGTCTCCGTAATCTTTCAACTCTCATCATTGCTGTGCCTCTATCATTTTCCTATACATCGCCAAATGAAGACATGGAAATTATGCGTACCTGCAGCTTCCAGGATACAACCTGCAGCAACCGCAATCGAAAAGCTCCATGTCCGTTTCCAAATGGCAAAGGAGGCGGCGACAATCGCGCTCAAACCAAATGCAATGGCAAAGAAAACGTTCGCGCCCTCATTAGGATAATATCCTAGGGTAGTCGCCTCTACAGGGCAGCTTGATGAGATCTCATGGCAAGACTCGTAACTTGTAGAAGCTCGTCCTGTGAGCAATGGATCCGTGAACGACATCGCGGAATAGTTGGATGAAGATTCGGTTAATTTTGTCTGAATAAGCCTTTGTTGCAAATTTTTTTTTTTTGGAGGTCGGGATTCGAATTAAGTTTTGTGGACATCAGCAACGGTGGATTGTTCTCTATTCTCCAGGCTGAACTGAATTGTATGGTAATGTGAAGCCCGAAGATGAGGAGGTCGGAAATAAATACTGAAAACCAGTGTCGCAGAACGCGGCCCGAGAGGCAGATCAAATATTGAAGGATTAGCACAATCTTTACGTCGCGTAGGGATATAAGACAGAGCTTGAATGCGATTATAATAACACCAGTGTGTAACTAAGATCAAGGAGGAATGGTGGTGCTGATTGGTGTACACCCTAGTCAGCATTGACATACGAGTAAAGTCCGAATTTGCTTACCCCTGGGGTCAACTCTTGAAAAATTGCCTAGCCGCACATCTTCTTATCCCTCGAGGCCGGTTGACCCGGATGTTGCAACATCCACATAATCAAAGCTCCGAATATTCAAAAGACCAATCCAGAGCTTATCTTATTGCCATCAAGCTGGACTGGATCTGATAATGCACGCCTCCACGAGCCCCGAAGATGCACATCCAGATATTTCAGGGTCTTTCAACGCGAGTACTCTGGCTACCCGAATCTACCCACTGAGCGCGTATAAACGCCGGAGGCACCAGAAGAGTCGCACAGGATGTCAAACATGCAAAGCAAGGAAGATAAAGGTATATTCGAAATCACTAAGACTAGCCAATCAAGTCTCTGTCCGATATGATCATTCAGACTAAGGAACCCCAGTGCGATGAGCAGCGCCCATCTTGCTGCAATTGTATTTTGCATGGAGTCAAGTGCCCTTTCTCAGTGGCTCATCAGCAAGGCAAGTCATCCGCTCTTCCTACTCTAGAACCAAGAAGTAGGCTCGCCTACCATGAAATGGAGTTGCTGCATCACTTCACAACCCAGACTTCCATAACTTTGGCGACAGATGCCAGCGTCAGAGAGTTTTGGAAAGTCGACGTTGTACGTATAGGGTTCCAATGTTATTACATCAGTAAGCAGGTCTTTTCAGTTCGTTCTACTTTCATGGCCATGTTGTGGGCATTGGGGCAAAAGATACATCTTGACTCTACACAATTACTCCTAAGGCTTGTTCTCTACAGCTTTTCTTGCTCTTAAAATATCCCCATTGCACCAATATTAATATAAACTGTCGTAGTTGATTCTCTTCTAGCATTGTCGGCGCTCCATATTGCGCACATCAAACCAGAAGAGAGGGAAGCATATGCATCACAGGGGATAGCATACCATCAGAGAGCATCAAACGCTGCAATAGAATCCATGAAGAATATTGAAGACAGCAAAGACTATACCAACTTGTATATATTCTCCATTTTGACAGTGTTCTTCGGTAAGACGTTCGCTAGCACCTATTTCTAGTTAACAAATTACTGCGAGCCATGCCACTGATACAACTTATGCAGCACTCGGAAGCCCTCGAAGCCTTAGTGGATTTCATTTCGCGGCTGACGCCGTATTCCCGGAATGGACCTTTCTCTTAGGCGGCAACAAGGCATTTGCTGAAGCTATTGAGCACTGGGAAGATGAGCATGCTGTTCTGAGGCCTTTTGTGGCGTATGGTGCCAAACGATGGCATGCTATCAATGACAACAAGCTGTCTGAGAGGCTGACGGTTTTTGACGAACTAAGTCAACGAGTGGCTGCGTCAGTATCTGACAAAAACTTACTGCGCACTTATAACTTCGCGATCGAACAACTCGATCTATCACTCAACACTACTTTAAATGACCCGTTGACACCACGCGATGTTCTCGAACCTCTATTATGGCTTTACAAAGTCGCAGACGACCTTGTCCCTCTATTGAAAAGTCTTACTCAGGAGGCTGTTGCGATTTTTGCTCATTTCAGTCTTCTCTTGAAGCAGCATGAGAGCCAGTGGTGGCTTCAAGGTTGGGCAGTTCACATCATATCACAAGCATACAGTGTTCTTGATGAAGCACACAGATCATGGATTTCAATGCCCATGAAGGTGATTGGATGGAAGGCACCTTGAGTTTCTCAAGAGTTTTGTGATTCATTCAGAGGCTGATCCCACTCTCTGGTCAGAAACTCAGACTATTCAAGTATACTAGGGTGCCTATGACAATGTCATGATGCATTGATCGTCTAGTTGAAGGACCAGAATTGCCGGCGTCGTCAACTTAAAGTGTCCCGCGTGGATATCTAGAGGGAAAGGTTCCTGTGACGTCGGCCATGATTTGAATAGCCGTGTACCTTCCCTAACGTTCCCTTTACTTA